TGGACTTGAACCACAAACCTTTTGGTTCCCAGTGAGCACATTGACTGTCTACATCACCAGGGACTCCTGCATATTATAGGTCTATGGTATTGGCATTGTATCTATAATGTAATCAGAATTGAAAATAAAGACTAAAGTCAGCTATTTGAGAAATGTTAATATTTTTGTGGGAAATGTGAAATGTTTATGCATCACACCCTGGAAACACATCTACGATTGCATCATGGATTAATGGAATCATTTGCATCTGATGTTTTCTGAATAATTATTCATCAGAAATATGGGTATAAGAGAGAGGAACTAAAGAAACAGAGTTCTATAACACTCCGTTCTAAAAAGAGTATACACAGGATGCGAGCATTTGCTTGCTTGCTTTTTTCCCCCCACTCCCATCCATCCATTCATTCACCAAAGTCTAGTTGAATACTATGAACTGAACTGTCTTCTTGGAGCAGATAGACTAAATCTTGACCCTTCTGCAGCTAACCTTCCAGAGCTAAGCTGAGTGGTCCCTCACCGCCATGGAGTAGATCCCGACTCATAGAGACCTATAGGACAGGGTAGAACTGCCCCTGTGTGTTTCTGAGACTGACTCTTATATGAGAATAGAAAGCCCCATCTTTCTCTCATTGAGTGGCTGGTGGTTTCGAACTGCTGACCTTGTGTATCACAGCCCAATTCATAACCACTACTCCACAAAGGCTCCATAGGTATTGTTCTAGAATGCCTAATTACATTTTAAATGTTATTACAGTCACCAATTCCTAAAAATGTACATACTTTTCCCCCAGAAAGACACTCTCTGCATTATTCTGAAACAGTCTTTAGCTCATAGATCAATCCACTAATAAGGTTTTCCCTCATTCCTTTTAGAGAATCCGTGTCCGTTGAAGCATTTGTGTCGCTTAAAAATCCGAAGGCTCATGGGTCTCCAGCGACTTGGCCAGCCAGCCTCCATGGAGAAGCTTTCTCTGCCACCAACTATACAAAGATACATATTATTTAAAGAGTATGATCTGTATGGGCAAGGACTGAAATTGCCATAGCTTAAAAATCACACTTTAAAATGGAATTTTAAGTGGAATTATCATTCATCCTGAAGTGTATGTAAGCCCACTGGCAATTGTATAGCTAGATCGTGTGTTCTAAGGCAATCCTTCATAAGAGAGGTTTACGTTGTGATTCTTAAGATTGTCATTATTTTGTATTTGTGAATAGGTCCTCCTGCTTTCTTCAAACTCTCCCTATTAAGTGGATCCTGCCTATAAAAATTATCCACGATCAAATATCTCCTATATTAAAAAAATTCAAAACAAAAACCAAGCAAACAAATAACCACTTCCACAAACATCTTTCTTCTTGTTGCTGGCCCGTCTCTCCTCTCCGGTAGCCACTTAAATGACCCAAGTGCCTTCCGCCTGCAGGTTCACACCCTGTCATCTCGCTTCTGCTCACTCCCCTCCCCTGCTCAGGGTCCTTCACTGCCTCCCAGCTAAATATGACCTCCTTCGGCCCTCATTTTATTGATTATCCCACAGGGTTGTCTGCTCCATCCTAACAAGGGTCTCTTTGCTGAGCTGACCTGACTCTTGCTGCCCTCCTTCCTACCTGCCCTGGAAACTCTGCCCCTGGTTCCTTTCTGGGCTACTCATCTGCCAGTCCTTTAGTGCAGGGCTTCCTAATCATATGTCTTGAATCCTTTCTGCTTTTTATGCTATATTCGCTGGGACATTTCATCCAGTCTTGTGATCCTGATGATTATTTATCTGTATGTTGATTATTTATCTGTATGTTGGCATCTGCACAATTTGTGTTGAAGCTCAAGTTCCGTTTTACCATATGTGCTTCTGATCTGTGTAACAAAGAGCCACAGGGCCTGGAACATAAAGACATTTCTAATCTGGCAGATCCCACGTGAACTTACCATCTTTTCCCAAAAACAAGCTCCGTCACTTGTATTCTCTAGCTCCATAGCTAATGCAATCATCAATCCACTTCCCCAAAGCCTGGGCCTGGGTTTGATGCCGTCTCTTCCCATTTTCCATAACAAATTGCCAAGTCCTGTTAAGTCACCTTTCCCCATTCAGTCCCACGGACCTCCTAATTCTGTTTCCTCCACTGCGCACCCGGCTGCCCTCCCTGCAAGCTTTCTGGACCACACTCTACTCACAGCCTCCAAGACAAATCTTTTACATATGCAAACAGTATTCTGCTCCTTAAAATCATTCTCATTGCTCTTAGGATAAAGCCCACACTTCCTACATGACCCTTCACCATTTAACTCCTTCCTCTCCTTCAGTTGTGTGTTTTGACGTCCCTCTCTGTCCTCCCCACCCCCCTTTACCCATAGTGAACACCCCTACCAGTTGATTCTTGGAACAGTGATTCCCAGACTTCTGGGTTTGATAAGCCACGAGTTTCTGTTATTATCATATTAGAAACATGGAAATGTTTTCTTTTTTTTTTTAATGTCAATGGCAAAAAATATTAAGATGGCCACAAATTTGTTCACTCATGTTGAATGACTTTCCTTTGGAAAAGAGTGACCACCCTGTTCTAATTTTACCATGGAAGGGTAGAAATTTCATTCTAGTCTGACAAGTCTGTCAGTTTAGGAACCACTGCTGTAGAATAAGCCCCAGACCCTTGCACCTCACACCTTTGAATTTCTCTCACCTTCTTTTCGTTTCTGTCTTCAACTCCCTCTTCCCCTACAAGTCCCGGCTTAGTTCTTTCCTCCTCAGTCTGTATTATGTTCTTGCCTGGTTTCTCCCACTTGACTGTCAGCTCAGTGAGGGCAGGAACTAGGATTCTCTTATTCCCCAGGGTTTCCGCAAGACCAACCACACTCCCTAGGGCACAGAAAGAGCTAGAGAGTGATCATTAGGTAAGACACACACACACAACAGTGATCTCAGGGTAGAATCATAGTACCTGATTTGGTTATGTAATTGTAATCATGTAAACATTTCTGATTTTTTTTCTTAGATTTTAATCCTGTGCTATTTTAATATATATATATATTTTTTACTCTAAGAAGTATTTACTCAGTCTTTCGATAGTGATACCTTCCCGGCTGGCACATTTTTCAAATTGTAAATTTTCTCTTTAAAAAATAAGTAAGCATGACCCAAAAATACCATATAATTTTTAACCTCTTGTATTCCATAGAGGGTATAGTTTCATATAAATTAAGCTGTAATATATGAAGGAACTTCAAAAAGTTCATTTAAAAAATGGAATTGAAAGATAATGGAATTCTTCCACAGACTTTTTAAAGCCCCCTCATAGTTAGTTAAATAGTAATGTTTGTTTTGTAGATTTCTCTGTTGTTTTTGTACTTGTGTTAAAATGCTGTTTCCTATGAATATTGGTACCAATAAATGAATAACAATGATGATGCACGTCTGACGTTCATGTTAGATGGTAAGTACCTTCAATTGAGGAAAGGCCCATGATGCGAAGGGCTGGCGCCGTGTGCAACAGGAAGCCCAAACACAGGAACCACTGCGAGGGTGCCGCCGGGCCGGGAGGGCTTTACTCTGCTGCACACGGGCTGTTCTAAGCCCGAACCAACTCAAATGGCGCCCAACAACAACAACAACAAATTAAAGTTTTCACATTTTCCTTACAGAATTTTTTGGGTATCTTCAAGAAACACTTGGTGTAAAAATGTGAATGAACTGCATATGCTGACGGTTTAGAAAGTGGTTCCTTTGATATTTGTGAACCTGGCGTGTGTAGGGGTGGCGGTAGGGGATGCATCGTATGAAACTGATGGCAATTGTACTATCCAGAACAGATTTGATCTCTCTCACTGCATTTGGATTTTGCTGCGGAGCTTGTTTTGTTTGCAGTGGGCTGGATGGGTGGGGCAGCAATTTGATGTAATGAGGACTGTGTTTCCCCTAGAAAATGGCACTTTGTGCTGGAGAGGGCAAGAACTGCTTCTCTCCCACGAGCCTCTGTTGTGGAGTGCTCAAAGTCACCATTAACTCATAGTGACCCCATGTGACAACATAGAACCACCTCATAGGGTTTGGTAGGATGCAATCTTGATGGGCCCTGGTGGCACTGTGGATTAGGCTTTGGACTGCTAACTGTAAGATCACTGTTCAAATCCACCAGCCACTCAGCAGGAGAAAGATGAGGCTGTCTGTTCCCATAAAGATTTACAGTCTCTGAGACCCTCAGAAACCGAGCTTCCTCTGAGTCCAAATCAACGGGATGGTGGTAGGGTTGGGTTGGGGAGTCTTTATGAGAGCAGATTCACTAGGTGAGGTGAGTTCAAACACAGCCTTTGGGTTAGCAGCAGAGGGTTTAACCCTCGAACCACCAAGGCTCCTCCAGGGAGCCTTAAGCGAAGCCAAGCATTCTCCAGTGGTGATTGTTAGTACCTGTGGGACTAGCCTGATCGGGTTTGGATGCGACGGTCGCATGGTGCCAAGACATCTCCAGGCGTCCTGACCCCTGCGGGTGCTGTGTTGGTAACAGTTGGGTGGAAGGCTGCTGGTCTGAACTCTCGCTTGGCTGTGCTCTGTTTGCGTTGTTATCTTTTCCAGTAGGCGAACATTCAAGTGAATCTCTCTCCCTGGCTAACATTAATTTCCATAAGCACATTGACGCCAAGTGCCTGCTGGAAAAAAGGACTTCATCACGTTAATCAATTTAAGCAGAGCGTGGTGTCAGGCAACAGGATGAGAGCAGCGAGGGTGTAAGAAGGATGGTGCAAATGCCGTCAGGGACCCTCCTTTGAGGCCGGCTTTTGAGAAATCAGCAGCTAGGGATCAGAGAGGACAAAAACTCCAAACAAGATGGACCCAGAGAATGCCTGGAAGCCTTCTTCTTGCTGTGTGACAGCTTGTTTGTTTTTTTACCAGAATTCCTACCCAAATGTT